CATAACCAAGCCTATGTATGAGTTTGTACGCTCTCCAATCATTCGTATATATTGTAGTAGCTGGCTGCAGTCAGTGTTACAGGTGCTTTTATTATCCAGTTCGCAATAATTGTCGTAATTTGCCTTAGTTAGGAATTATATATGGGCTTTTCATCACGAATTGACATCAGCTATAATGCCAGAAATTTATTTAGCCAAATGGATAAAAGGCTTTCGCGTTAAAATCCGAGATCTATTATCTTATACCTCATTGGTTCGTCCACAAATTATAGTCTCGCCGTTTTATTTGTTATAGCCGCTCAAATATCACGTTTTGTACAAAATTCCCTGTGAATAGATCGTACGTTAGCATAAAGTATTGAACTTGGTGCTGTGTCCTTGAAATCCCTCAAACTCTTATGATTGGCTCGTCCATGAATTATAGTCTTGCCGGACTTTCCTTAACATGAATGCATGATCATATAACAACATTTTGCTTAGATAAAAGTTATTCATATTCAAACTTGACATAAAGTAGAATTAACTTCGAAGGTTTAATGTTATTCCTTATTTTTTATATTGTATAAATTTTTATTTAGCTAGTCAAGTACTTACTTATTTATCAGTATCACAACTTAAAAGGAAAGTATCTCTGATAATTAAACTAAAACTAATTTCCATGATGTGTGAGAAGTGAAATGTAATTATCAAAATGTAGTTCCAATAATAAATGTTTTGTTAAATATGGGCATATTACTTAACTAGAATTGATGGATTACTGTTTGACAGATTTGATTCAACAATTAAACACTGAAACAAAACTTTCATTCTTATCTTGTTTAGTATGTGTAATCAATAATTATATACATATATAGGATGCCTTCAAAAATATAGATAAACAAGACTATCTCGGAAAGGATATCGTTACATAAATAATAATCAGATGCTACTCTCTTGTCCTAACAACTATAACTTTTACGATCCTATACTAGAACGAAACGGCCGTCCAGTGCTTCCAGGTTTCCCATAGTGGCCTAGCTTTAATTGACTCATGATTTCAACTAGTGAAATTTCTAAAATCTCCACTCAACCCCTTCTCATTTTACAATTATTGTTAAATATAATTTTCCATTAGATAAATTACATCAAGTTTTGATTTAGCAAAGTAAGTAGTATTAAGAAAATATATACTTAAATGCAGATCATCTAAACAATTAGTGAATATCTTTTCTTTAAATTAAGTCAAACTTAATAAATAGTTAATCGAGCAGTTTGTTCATCAATGCCAAAATTATATAACAAACATTCTATTTAAATTAAATGAGTCTTGTGACATTTATGAAAGAGAGAAAAGAATCATTACGCAATCAAATGATCATTATGATATATGTACTATTTAAGTATCTAAGTAATCAGTAAATGTAAATCTTCATTTCTTATCTATAATAAGAATGTTATTTTATATGATAAAAAATTTTATAAATAGTTCTTATAGAAATTATCAATCAACAAAGTTTGTTTTTTTGGTTGAGCGGCATTTTTAAAAATTTCTAAATTGAAGACAATGGATTTAGTTTAATGAAAAAATCATACTTTCTTACAATGTAAAAGTAAAATAAACTTTGATCAATTTAGAATATTAAATGATTCGGATTAGTTATTTGTAGATTATAACAAAGATGATCCCTAACAATGATTAACCATTTGAGAAAAATGAAGTTAGTATTATGAATATATGACAAGATTGAAATTTATGCAATAAAAGCTTCTAGTCAGAACTGATAGATTCATGAAAAATAAGAAGTGATATTATGTGAATAATGAATGCATAAACATATAACGCTAGTAAGATGGTGGTTGAAGGTAGTCAAAAGCAATCCCTGAATACGGACTTTATGCTACTCAGCACTTATCAGCAAGGTGTATCTGTAATCTTGAGGGAACTCGTGTCCCCTGACGGACTCGATCCCATGTCACACAGCTTCACAGTCAGAGACGTTACCACTGAGCTGTCCAGACCGCAACCAACGCGAGTCTAGGGTTTCCTGTTGACTATCTCCAACCACTATCTTATCTCAACATAGTGCACACAATGTCTAGTCACCTAGACTAGTGCCCACATTGCAACTTGATCAATAGCAATCGATCTGCACTAAGAAGGACTTGACACACATGACATTTATCACCACGCTGTGATCAATGAATTATGATATAATGCTAGTCTTAAGAGACTTTTAATAACATTCTCAGTATATTGTGACTTTTACTTACGATATAAATATTCTGTAGATTAACCATCCTTTTTTTTAAAAATATGTATTGACTGAATTAATTAACAACAAATATCATATTTTTCAAAGATGTACAGAAACAAACTTCCTCCTCAAAATCAGTACTATTAATGTGAATCACATATTTTATGGTAATTTTCATCAGTAAACAAATACTAGTACATAAGATCTTATTTCTTACTCACATTTCAATCTCTTTGAACAAATCAAGGTTATAATACACTAAAGTTTTGTGAGATTTCAGTAAGAAACAAAAACGTATACTTTGTAAATGATAACAGGTGATCGATGATATCGTGATCTTTTAAACAACAATTAACTGAAATCTATCTATCTACCTATCTATCTACTCACCTATCTATCTATATCTATCTATCTATACCTATCTATCTATCTGTATATCTACCTATATATAAATATATATATATATATATATATATATATATATATATATATATATATATATATATATATATATATAGTACTTTTAATTATGCTCATAATATATAAACACAGAAATTAGGACAAATAGATATAAATTCAATGAAACGATATTCTTTTCATCTATTCAATAATGAATGAATCAGTCTATTATTAATAATACTTTATGCTGTACAGTATTAATATAAATATAAATAAATATTGGTATGTACACTAGAAAAAAGTGTTTACATAAACAATTTATTACATCAAAATATAACATTCAATATACATCAACTAAATTAATATTATATAACTGGATGAATTCAAAAGTTAGTTAAATAATCATGAGTTGATATTATAGTTGTAAAACAATAATCTTATTACTTAGTCTATTGAATTGTATTACTTGTATATTGTTAGAAAGGGTTTTGTATATTAAACGATTGTTTCTTTAACGAAATAAAATTAATATCAAAATGGGTTTTATGGATATGATAATAAATTCAATAGTTGAGATCATGAGTCAATTGAAACCAAACTCATAATCTAAACTATTTAAATGACATTAAGCATACTATGTAATATTAAGCAATATTTTATAAGCTATTTTAAATATTCACAGATTTAAATCATGAGTCAGTTGAAGCTAGACCACCATTGAAAACCTGGAAGCACTGGACGGCCGTTTCGTCCTAGTATGGGACTCCTCAGCAGTGCGCATCCACGATCCCGCACCACGCGGGATGGTGGCGCAACTTCGTGGATTGGTTGAAGTTAGACATTAACACCGTTGGATGCCGGCTCAGTGGTCTAATGGTTAAGTGCTCGCGCGCGAAGCCAGTAGGTCCTGGGTTCGAGCCCCGCGAGGTGCGGGATCGTGGATGCGCACTGCTGAGGAGTCCCATACTAGGACGAAACGGCCGTCCAGTGCTTCCAGGTTTTCAATGGTGGTCTAGCTTCAACTGACTCATGATTTAAATCTGTGAAAATTTCTAAAATCTCCACAAACCCCTTCTGATATTTTAAATATTGTTTTCATCATAAAATCAAGTTTATAACAATATTGAAAAGAGCAAGAATAAACATTCTAACAGAATAGCATGAATTCATTTTATTTCATTTGAGTCGTGTCAGCTGCTTACAACTTGTGCTATTTTAAATCATAATTACATAATGGGTTTAAATTACTTACATGAAACGGTTTAGTTGGAAGTTAGATTGAAGACATATTAGTATAGTATAGCAAGGATATAAATAAATTTAACAAACAAATTTATTTCAACCATCTCCCAAACTAGTAATTTTATTTTTTTAACTGAGCTCTACTCATTTTATTTCTGTCAGTGTTTACTTATTATGTAATCACTTGTTTCTGGCCCTTTGAACTGTTATCATAATTAATGTTGCAGAATGTTCAGTGTATTGAATTTATTTACGTACTTTCTATACCATGCTAATGTGTTTTCAACTAAACTCTTTCATGTACGTAATCTAAACCCATTTCATAATTATAATTTTAATTATCATAGGTCGTAAGCAGCTGACGAGATGCAAACGAAATAAAAATGAATCCATGATATTCTGCTAGAATCTTTGCTTTTGCTCTATTCAAAATGATAAACGGAACTAAGTATATGAAACTTTCTACAACAGATTAAAATGTTAATAGTGAATTTTTGAATGGTAATGTATGTTCAAAATATGGAGTTCAGGATCATTTACCACTAAGTTAGCTAAAACTTAAGCTAATCTATGGTATTTGTTGATAGTCATAGAAGTTACCAACAAAACAAAATAAATGAAGAGTACTGATTCAACTTTTTATATCTACGTTAATGATATTTTTACTGAGTACACATACATTTAAGTGATTTAGAGTTTGGTATGTGCGTATACACGATCCCGCTTCGCGAGATTCGAATCCAGGACCTGTCATTCTTGCGCGAGGGCGCCTAATCACTAGACCACTATGCAGACCGGCTTCCGACGGTGTTAATATCTAACTTCAACTAATCCACCAAATTGAGGGACACATCCACCATTGTCACCAGAGAGTTACTACCCCTCGACAGACCTGATTGAGTTCCACTGGTCATTGATTCTCACTAGAACTCTAGGATATACCTCTTGCAGCCAGTCACTAGTGAGCATATGTTGAATAATATCAGAATGGGTTTTTGTAGATATTATAGTAATGATATTTCAATGTCATTTTACTTAATTGATTAGGCATAAACCTGTCAAAAACATAATTATCTTCACTTTTTTTCAATGATATTGTAGGAAAATCATTTAAGAGATTTTGATATGACTGCGGGAGAGATAAATAGATTAAACAAACTAGAAAGAAGGTAATTATTATCATATTATTACTCTCTATTTTTTATTTAGAAAATATTCAACAACTCGTTTTAAGAAACAGAGTGGCAAAAGAAATACAACTCAAAATCATTGTAATACAAATAAGGTTTTGAATAAAACAATTCGACAACAGAAGGATGTTCTGATAGATCGACCAGTTGAAACAAAGACGTGTAATAAACAGAACTGGGGGAAACCTATTAAAGGTTCTTCAATGTTTAATAGTTGTTTATTCTATTTGTATTTAACACAGACTATCTACTTAGATTCTTGTCATGTGAACCACTACAGGCATGTTCATTGTTTCAATTCACCGTTTGAAACATTTGAGAAGAACAAACATGTGACAAATGTTGGTGAGTGAATTATCAATTTTCTAAATTTTATAAATCAAAAGGATGAAATTGATTTTAGCATTTCAAACTTGTTCAGATGCAAATAGTTATATGATAAATATATGTCGTTATGCTTAAAACGTTTCATTTGGAAAGAAGACGTGAGTAGAGTAATCCACTTTTTGGACATTTTAAGTTCAGTGTTGGAATCATCTGCATAACCGTTGAAAATACCAATACATCAGACAACGGAGCTCAATCATTTTAGGATTAAGAAGATTACTTATTACTAAAATAGGATGCTTTTAATCTAGGTTAAGAATTTGAACTATTAGAATCTAGCTCAATGGTACCAAAGTGAGTTTTTGATTAAATCCATGTGAGACGTGTGCAGACCACTGTTTCATACTAGGATACAGGAACTGTTATCTTTGATCTTCTATATTCTTCAAGTTCACACTAGTCATCTTTCGAAAAGCATCTACTTGATTTCTCTGGAAATTAGTAGAACGTATGAATGCACAAACTCAATATTCGTGGATATCTTTTAATGGTCAAAATATTTCATCCTAAAAACTTAATTCAAATCACCTTAAATAAGTATTCGAAATATCATTTAGAAAAAAGCAATCAACATTTTTTTATCAAAGACAATTCTTAATCTACATTTGAATGTTATGTAATAGTTCAATTATTCTCTAATCATTTTACTACTTAAGAGACGATGACGATTTTTTTTCTGTTAATGATGAAAATCGATATTGTTTAGACCATATTCTAGAATGAAACGTAAATTGATCAAATCTGAAGTCATTCCTAATAGTTTTAATTGAGCTTTGTGTATTAGATGGAGTAAATTATTTTCTTTTTAAAAATTAGGAACAAAAAACTAGTTTATGTAGTTTTACACTTACCAGTAGTTTAATTGTGCATATATAATTACAAATATATTTCAGTAAACCAACTAAACAATGTTTTTCTTAAGTTTCATTAATATATATTACTTCCTATAATTATGTTATTCTCAGATCATGCAAATCGATCTTGTTTTTCAAAACGTTATGAAATGAGAAAAAATGAGTAAGCAACAAAATGATAAATTTGTAATATTCTTAGTTTTGTTTTATTTAATCTTGAGCGTTATTTGTTAATTTAAACCTTAGTGTATAAACTTGTTTCTATCCAAACTAGATTGTTATGATGTTGTTCAAGATAATAATCAATATTTCACAGTGGAATCATTCAACTTAAAGGACGTAATACAAATAAATGTATCCATCTACGATACTAAATTTAATTGATTTGTATTCTTAACCGTAGGTATAGCACTGTATTTCACTTCATGAAATATCAAACTTTCAAAATACATCGCATGACAAATTCATTGGTTTCAACAATTGAAATCATGAGTCAATTGAGGCTAGACCACCATGGAAAACCTGGAAGCACTGGATGGCGCAGTGCTAAAGAGTCCCATACTAGGACGAAACGGCTTCAATTGACTCATGATTTCAACTATTGAAATTACTAAAATCTCCACAAAACCCCTTCTCATAAAACTTATAAATATTGAAACTTTTGAATGATAAAACATATGATTAAAATATTTGGTTTGTTGAGGATTATGACTAAATATTAGTTTATTATTATTTTTCATTTCGTTTAAATTGTTATAAATGAATGTATGATGTCTATATTCTCAACAGACAGAATAACATCAATATTACTTTTGTAGTGAACGAGAACAACATTGGGGACAATCATATGTTTTTGAACATAAAATTACAGAATGTTTGAATAAAATCTGAAAACTAGACAATAAATATTTCATTAGCAAAACGTCAATCAATCATCTCAGACTTGATTGTTCCTCTATTTCCATACCAATCATTCTCTGATCTTGTTCTATTTTCTTCAATCTTCTTAAGTGTCTACCGTCAGGCATTCTCACTATCGATTGATGATACATACTACTTATATCTGTCGATATCATTGGTACACATCACACGATCGTTTAAAAATAGTCAACTTATTGCGTGCGTGGGTATTTTTAACCATTTAAAATGTGAACATTTCTGTTTTTTGATTGTTTGACTGTCAAGTATGATGTCAAATATTTTTTAAAAGTCGGTTGAAATCAAAGATAGTAACGTTTTTGTGTGGTCGTGTGAATTATGAATTCATCAATGATTGACAATTAATTGCTTTTAAAAGTCATTAATTAACGTTATTCTTTTCTTTCTGAAAATAATAATTTGTGTTAGGTAATTTTGCTGAAACATTAGTAACACATTAGAATGTGGCTTGAAGGCACAGATGAACATATATTTTATTTCATGACTTATTAGTAATTATTGTCATATCATCTAGTATTTAATAATGATTAATTGGCTTTCTGACTAAAAGTCAGAGTCACTCAAACACATGAGTTCATATACAATGTTAAATATGCGTCGGTAATGGATTATTTTAATCAACCAACCTAAGTTTGGAGATAGCTGTCAATTTCTTCTAAACATCACAAATCGAAATTTGAACCTATTTGGAAGACATTAGTCACAGATAGTCTTTACTAAGAACTGTACAGTGAAATAAATCATTTTGGCACTTCATATTTTATTATTAATTACAGTTTATAACAATTTGATTTTGTTAATTTAGACTGTTTAGTTCAAATTAAGAACAAAGTTAAAGTTCTAGACTCATCGATATTTAACTGAAGATAATGCTTGAAAATGTAGATGTACAAACTATGATATTTTATGGAAAAAATGTGAATATGTGCAAACCCTTAATGTTACTTATGCCATTATTTAAAAGAATATAGGTTTTCCTGTATTGATAATCTTTATTGAACTTCGATCAGTCTTTGCCGACAGATATGTACCTTATGCTGATTGCTTCAATTTTTACAAATGTTTGTAGAGTTGATGGATTTGCGACTGTTAATGAAGTCCCATTTTCGATTCGTTCGCCACATGTGTCTGCAACTAAGTGCTAGTCTTCCATGGATAACGCGTTTGCGGCTAGAGTTAGAAGATGCTGAGTCCGAGTCCCTGGGTGGACATTGGGTGTGTGATTCAACTTAATACAGATGATGAGTTCCAAATAGGGTGAAACATGTGTCCTGGATTTTACTACTAGCCATAAATCTATCCATTATACATTTTATGTTACAATATTTAACCTTCTTGATTATTCTTTAGTAATACTTCAGTTAATTAAGATTATATGTTTGCCAATGATTGTGCAATCACAGGCGATGTAATTACTTGGTGATAATTAATTTCAGTAATAAACACAAACTAAGCATGATATCTCGATAGATCACAGTAGCTACCAAGTATGTCTGTTCAGGGGATTCAATATTCTATTCTAGTTCAAGTAATCAAGTCTGAATTGAAAATCAATACTTGTGCAGATGTAATGTCAGCCTTCATTAAAATTGATTAATTTAACAATACTGTTTTACAATATAATAATGACAACATTGTTGAGCCGGCTTCCGGAGAACTTCAACGGAGCCTCCAGAGGCTCGAAAGGAGTAGGAGGGTCCTAGCCAATCAGAGTGTGGTGGAACGTTCTAGAATTTCAACGTGGCGTGCTACCATTGGTCGGTAGTATAATATGTCGTCAACGGATTGGCTGAAATATGATTTTGATTTAACAGACGCCAACATCTATAAATACCCTTGATTTTCTGTACAAAAATGAACCTTGGGATAAACTATTTTCGCTCATACTTGTGTCTTCTCTCTGGTGTTCAAGTCGCTGTGTAGTTTCAGACTGCGGGTTAACAGAATAGCTTAGGAAAACGAATATAGCGTTCGATCGGCGAGACTTATCAAACATGATATACGCTCATTGGCTCAATATGATGGCACTATAATGATAAACCGAATCAATAAAACTATTTACGGAAACAGGTTATTTTTAATTTTGACAGTCAGTCGCTCTGTTACCAAATGATCAATCACTTGTCACTATCCAATTGTCACGACATTTCGTAAAAGTTTATTTTAAACTGGATTATTGACGATAATACAATCGTTAAAAGATCATAACAATCCATCAATTACTATCAAAATACTGTAACAATCTAATAATAATGAACTACTTCAAGTTAAAGCAAATATGGTTTATCATTTTCATCTCTTGATTGAGCCTACATCAATTAAAGTGTATTTATTCTTTTATCCCTAAAACTATTCCGGGATTTAGATGAGTGTAAAATATCTTTACTTATCGTAACTATCTCTCTCGATTGAGACGAGTTTCAATAAAATACACATGAATTTAATGATTAAAATACACAATGTGTAAACGTTTTCCAGGTTCAAATTAGTTTTCATCACGGATAGACATCCGCTCTAACTAGCGAACGTTGAACAACGTCTTGGGTTCACTTAAGAATTTCCTTGAAGGTAACCAACCACGAATCTACAAGAATTTTAATACAGGATATTCGAATCATCTGTTCAGTAAAATACTTCTAAATTAATTGTTCCAATTTTAATCAGTGAAGTTATTTTTACTTTCTTAAACAGTTTTGTGTAGTTTATATAGTTACTCTGTTAGGGAAATAACTGATTTCCTTGCATCCAACCGAACCTATTGAAGATAAGCGAAAACATAATTATCTGAAATGAAGAGAAATTTCATTATTTTATAAAACACCTCCAACACTTTTCTGTCGTTTATAATAAAGTAGAAAACCTTTAAAAAAGCTTTCATCTTAAAATTGTATATCTTGCATCAAAGTATAATCACATCATGTCTATCCTGAAATGTAGTGCTCGTACTGATAAAAATAAGAAACTTCGCTGATTTATATCCTAGTTGAATTTTGTTTATATATTCATAAACATTATAACATGGCGATATTTGATTAGTAGGAAGTCATTATTATATTTTAGTAGCGTGATAAGAAATGATACGAAAAAAAACAATCATAATAGTAATGATTGTGTAACGTCTATAGGTTGTGAACAACAGAGAAAAAAGTGTAACGCTAGTGTGGTGTGTGCTACTTATGCTGACATAAGTAGTGTATGACGTTACTCGTGAACGGAAGGTCTGGTAGCAGAGAGACAAGAGGATCAAACAGTAAAGAATGGAAACAGAATGCAATTTGTATGAAAATTCAAGAACAATGAAGTTTGAGTCATTATGAGACAACTGATGGGCATTTTGTAAATTACGTATTTACTATTTGATTGTTAGATTTTATTAACAAGTCCTGTAATTCTGAGTCAAATATATTGGATTGTCCCCACCCGTGTTCTGTTCACTACACTAGTAATGTAACACTCCATTATGAAATGCAAAAACACAAACATGTTTGTCTTATTGATAAGAAAGCAGATATCATGTTGAATAAGTTAAAACTTGAACTAATCAGGGGAATATGAAAATATTCAAAAAATGGAAGATATTTCAAACATGTAAATAAATGGGATGAAACTACAGGTGAAAGCTTATGATTTATTGGCATACAATAATACATCTTATATATACAAATGTTGAACTTCATGAAAATACACTTACTGTTAAACTACTAAAACTGACCAACTTTGGTCGGTGACATAATCGTCTTTACCAAACACTATTGCTCAGTTTTGGAGCTGAATAAAAACTGTATTTCAAAAGGTAACAGTAATTTATAAGATTTTGTTGCATTGCAAATTATTTATAAATTAAACACATTATTCAACTCAGTGTTATATATGAGACTTTCTTATTTCTAAATGTAAACGTTTTTACGTTGTATGTCAAAGTTCAATGCATTTTACTAACTTACTTTCAGATGTTCATTTGAAAAACTGAAAAATCTATGGAAACAACAATTTGATCAATTTATTCTGCCTGTTCCAACAAGACGTAATACTGGTACAAATAGAACTACATATACAGAAAAATCTACTATCACCAATCAGAAAAAGGAAACCCTTGAAATGTCTCCTCAAGTAAAGAACCCTTCAAACAATCAATCTGAAGAAATCAGTCAACACTTAAGCCTATCCAAATCATTTAGCTCCTTTTGCTCTTCGAAATATGAAGTTAGAAGCTATCAAGATTATGGTGAAAACTTCCTAAAAAACTTTGAAGATAAGTATACATTTAGTGATTCATCAAATTTAACTGGATCAACGATTTACCTATATTGTTCAACATGCAGTCAGATTTTCTCATGCAGAAACATTGATGAATTAAAACAACTGAATTTACTTGAATCTAGCTCATCTTTATCTTCTTACAACTTGACCTCTGAGGACGAAGATATCGGTACGTTATGAAATAGGAAATTGTTGAATATCATAATATCTAAACAATTACTGTTGAATGGAATATTTAAATTAAAGATTTAAACTGTAATTGATTGTCAATTGATTTCAAGAACTATTATTTGCATCTGATAGATTAATAGGGTTAATTTAGAAAGCTAAGTTTAGTCCATAGAAATTTTACACCATCCATAACATTGACTGAGTTGTTCAATGTCTTGATGCTTATTTAAAACAAAATATAATATGAAAGCTAGGCATGGTTTACTGATGTTTAGTGTTGAGATACAAAATCATATTTTATTTAAGAGAAAGTAATAGAGTTCATAGAGTATTCAACTTGATACAATGAGTTAGCAGTTGGGACTACATTTACACATTTCTTTCATCCAAGTTTAAATTTTCTCATTTAAATGTTTATATTAACCTGAGGTATTTATATCTAATTTTGTTTTACACGTTTTTATTTCATAGAAAGTGAGTTTGTTTTCGACGAATCATTTCCATCATACTGGGAATATATGAACCCATCATATGAATGGATCAAATCTTCACGTCCTGTTTCTGCACCACCAATATTGACTTGTTCATCAAAGAAATCAGCATAACAGTTGAAACAATAAACTAATTCTAACCAATAACTTTCAATTTCAGTTCAGATTCCGCTAACTTATGAAATGTTTCTTTCTTAAAAAAACAGTAGTACTTCACGCAAATCCATTTCCTTTTTTTCTAAAAATAGTCTATGATCCACTATTTAAAGGGTAAATTAGGAGATATTATTTTGAGTAATGTAGGTGCAAAACTATACGATTCGCAACTCTATACACCATTATATTATCAAGGATAGTGATAGCAGGCGAGATATTTCATTCTGTAGGATAGTTTTTTTATATGTCATTTCACATGACGTTTGTTTTACAATAATACCAATCAATTATAATATGAGTCTACATGACTTGAATGATTACAGACAGCATATGATTATTCAAAGATAAGTTTTGTGATAACATTCATATCGGTTGAACAAAGTGTACACAATTTAGCTGTCTTTTTTAACCAGGATATTTCAAGCAATATTAGGTCCGAAAAAACATGATTAATATACTTACCGTTGATAATATACGCTAGAAAAAAACAAGTAGGATATTTGTGTTATTATTAATCAAAAGGCATTTACAAATTAACATACAAAAATTATATCGAAACAACTGATTACTATCATTTACCAGTGGTTAAATTAAGGAAACTTTGATTGCATCTTATTCATAACATTTAATGATTATGCGAAATTCTTGTCGATGGAATTGTCATCCAGCCTAACATGTGAATAGACATAGGAGCAGTATGACATTTATTGTGATAAGTGTGTAGAAAAATCAGGAGTAAACCTATTACTACCGTTTGTACAGAACACATAGTAATACTCGAAGTTTTTATTTCTATATAACTATTATATATTACTTCAATGATTATTCTTTCTGTTAAAGTTAGCGAATTTATAACAATTTCACTGGTTTTATGCTAACAAAGATATAGACTTTACGGCTGCGATTACTTCAACCACTGCTTTTCGAATGCTTGTTAGAGTCATAATTCAAAACAACTCATATCCAACTTATTTGATGAGAAGATAGTAGCTTTTCTTGTTATATTACAGCTTAGACTTATTCATTTAACACTACGTATAATGAAATATACTATATAATCATTACGCTTTATTTGAATTAGTAAATGGCAACAAAACTTAAGCAGAATGAAGTTTATGTCTAATTAAGGCTGTTTGTTCAATGTAATTAAGAACAGAATATAGAAAAAAGTTATTTTTTGATCAACATATCGGTATCTTACTTTAAAAGTTATACTGAATTGAAATAACAAACTAGGTTACTGTACGGTTGATTATCTCATCCAAAGATATTCGTTATTTACTTTAGGAAACTTTTAGTTTATTATAAACGTTCAATTCAGGTTTGAACTGGATATTCATGGAAAATGTTTTGTTTTATTTAGTTCTATACTTTCAAACATTAGCTGACACCAAACATATGATTATGTTAAATTAAAGTACAATGTTAATTTACTAATTTAATCAGCTGTTCGAAAATTTTCTCAGTAAACATTGATATATTTTATGAACATTCAGTATCAATAGAATATCCAGTATGGTTCTGTTTATGAATTATTTACATTGTTTAACTGTCCATAATATTAATTCATTTAGAGAAAATTTTCAACATATTTTCAAACAATTTTTAAGTCAGTTATCTCTTTTAACCTTGAAGTAACCGATATTTTTCTTCTAAGCTCATTTCATTAGCAGAAAAAGGTTTTGTGGAGATTGTTGTAATTTAATAACTGAATTCATGAGTCGATAAAAGCTAGATCACCATGGAAAACCTGTAAGTACTGGACAACCGTTTCGTCCTAATATGCAACTCTTCAGCGATGCACATCCACGATCCTACATCGTGAGATTCGAACCCAGGACCTATCAGTCTCGCACGCGAGTGCTTAACCACTAGACCACTAAGCCGGCATCCAGTGGTGTTAATGTCTAACTTTAAATAATCCATCAAATCGAGAGACACATCCACCATTATCATCAGTGAGTTACTATCTCACAACCGACTTGGTTGAATTCCACTGATCACGGATTCTCACTGGAACTCCAGGAAATACATCTTAAAGTCAGTCTCTAGGGATCATACGATGATTACTATCAGAAAAGGTTTTGTGAAGATTTTTAGTGATTTTATAGTTAAAAACATGAGTCAGTTAAAGCTAGACCATCCTGAAAAACCTGTAAGCACTGGACGGCTGTTTCATCCTGTTGTGGGACTTCTCAACGGTACACATCCATGATATTAACACCGTTGGATGCCGGCCTAGCGGTCTAGAGTGTAAGCGTCCGTGCGCAACCGAAAGTCATTTTATTAAATTAATTTTCATGTTTTACTTTCTTATGTAGAACATTGGTATAGTAATAAGTAAACGTTTTAGATCAGATAGGCTTTTGAAAGAATCAAAAGTAATTCACACGATCACTAGTAGAAAAAAGATGAATTCAATCGATTTCCACTAGGAACATTCCCTTGCAATAACATCTAGTTTATCATTAATATGTCCACTGAAATATAATCGTAATTTTGATACACCAAAGTAACACACTTGTAATCATTATTTCTAAAAGGTGAGGAAATCGAAACAATCGATAAATAAATAGAATAAAATTACGGTGTATATATGGAAAACGTTTGCAACGTACTGTTAGAATATTTTATACAATCGAGAAAGAAATTAAATCATAGGTTGCAGAAAGCTAGAAATCACTAAGATATTGAACAAAGAAATATATAGGGAGGAACGTTGTCATAAAGGGGATACGATTTATTTGATGCTTCTATATCAAAAATTCATAAAAAGTTCAAAGGATATCAACTGCGATATCTAATAAATACATTTCACGAGGTCTTATATGTTGCTTCTAATATACTTCAGATTTTATTCATTTTCTGACTCATTAACACTCTACTATAAACAATCACTAATCGTATTAATAGTTAAACGTAGCATAAATCTTAAACTGTCAAGCTTATTAAATGGAATTATATAGTAATACGCTTTAACGGGCGTATTTTTAAAATGCTAGTTATGTCTCGACGAGACCGTGACTTATTTATCGCAGATTCCCCAGGAAAAGGTCTATTAATGTGGGTAACTCGAACAGAGCCTAAGATGTTCCTAATTTTAAACTAATAGACCGAAAAATTAGATCTTTACTGATTCCGTAAGTTTCTACCTTCGGTATTTCAAATTTATTATTTTGAAGGGTAAAGTGGGGTCGGTACAGTGTAGACACAGGAAGGTTAAAGGAATACCTCAGTTTCAAAAATTTCAATAGAAAAGCTAAATGTTCATTAAAATACTATTAGTAGTCCTGGTCACCTACAGTTGAATGAAAACTCAATCTTACATCGTATTATTTAACGGAAGATGTTAGTACTACTCATTAAGACAAACTCAGTTGTTCTTGACATGTAAACATAAAATATTAACTTCGGATTCCGAACTTACTGTATATCTTCATTAAGACTTTTGATTTACGGTGAGAGGAATAACTTTAATAAGCTGACATTTGTTAATCAGGGAAATACTGTACAAAGGGATTTAAATCTTGTTTTTTCGTCATAGGAGAAAATTGTATGGTATTTTAGTCGTTTGGTGTCAAACATCACAAACCATTATGCGTTAAATGCTTCAACTTTCAAACAGGAGCTCCTTACATCACGTTTTATATAATACTACTTGCTAATAATAAGTAACTCAATAATAAAAACAAATGAAAGATTTTATAGTGGCCGTAAACAAGAATGGTGGTTGATTAACAGTACATCAGCCCGAGACACATGAAACACCATACAAAATAAAATTATCACCGAAGTGATTTTATACAACTATCAATCAATGTTGTCTATTCCTAGAATCGATCAGTGGAAAGCTCACCTTCATAGTCTCTGTACATCATTGATAAATATTCCTAATTTAATATACCAAGTTCGTGAAATTTATCATTATAACTTGGTTTTATTTTTAAATCATTTTGAACAAAATTTCAGTTATCAAAATCAGCTTTAATATTCTAAACATTATTTAGCAGAAATTTTTATTTTAGTCAAAATGTATTCTGAAAGCATATGAGATACATGATTAATTACATAAATGACAAATATTTTATTAAGAACTAGGCAAAATGTAGAATGATAACATAATTCTAATTGCGCTATTATTTCTCTCACCCTATTTGACCCGTATATATTCTGACCATGGATCTTAAATTTCACTTCACAAATATGCAGATCCAAGTTAACATTTTATATGAAACATATCAACATTAACAATTTTATTGTATATTGTTTAACAATCCTAAATTCACATGCTTTAAACGGTGTACTTTACCCTTAACCTGACCATTTTTCGGATTATTAATTTGGATATATAATTATAGAACCTGAAGAGAATTTATCAGAAAGAATACTCTTCGTTCAAATATTAGACTCTTAATATGATGGGGATCTTTAGACGATAATATAATTATTAAACTATTTCACATTAAGTATTTTCTATAATCAATAAATGAAACCTGCATAGGTAAAATACCGTTGTAATTTAATTGTTTGTTGTTGGAAAAACTGGATATCATGGACATTTCAGATGATAAATGCACATTAGTAACATAATTCTTCTAAACTAATAAAAGCACTTTACATCTTATAGAAACTTCTACAGACTTACTAAAATAACCAAGTACTAAATATGATCAATTCATAGCATGGCTGATTTTCAACACAGCACGACTGACTAGCCATTTTATTGAGACTATATATACTATACATCATGAAAGAAGTTATAACTAATACATTATTCACTAAAATACTTTTAAATGAATAGTGTACACGTGTATAGTTTAGTTTTCTTGAATAAAATAAATTTAATCAGTTGTTTATTACAAAAGAAGCAATTTATCTCAAATTGCAACAGTAATACAGTTTCGGAACAAAATCCAAACGACCAAATATGCTTAACTCTAAATCTTTTGAATGCAGATTCTGAATGCAGATTCAGGTAATTGACAGCATCACTAAGAGTATCATAATTTTTGAAACTGTGATTGTAAAATGTGATCGATAAACGAACCCACCAATAATAAAGGGAAACGCCCACCACCACATTAACTCCTTTTGA